TGAATTATAAAGATATATAATTTTTAAAAGATTTAATTTCCAATTCTTCTACTTTAGATGAAATATATATACGTTTAGAAAAAGAAATATATGACTAAAGAAATAACTATCATATTTTGTAAAAAAAATATAATAATAATAATATATATATATATATATATATATATATATTTACATATATATATATATATATAAAAAAAAAATTAGAATCAATACATTATCTTTATTAAAAGAAAATACCATCCCAGAATTAAAATAAGATGGAAAATATATCCTATATAAATTATTTAATGATCCTAATATATATACAAAAAATCCTAATATAAAAAGATTATCCGAAAATATAACCGAAAAGCCTATTTTTTCTTTGAAAAATTCTCCTATATATGAAGGAGTATAAAAAGATTATTTTAAATATATAAAAGATACAATTTTCGGTAAACCTTTAGAATCTATAGCCTATTTTTCTTTATTATAAGTTATATAAAAACATTTCAAAAAATTACATTTTAAAAGAATTTTATCACACATTCTGATTTTTAAACCCAAACTAGACTAAAATACTTGTACATTAATTGCCTAAATATCCAAAGAGCAAAAAGCTGGTAATACCTTATTCGAATTTGTCTATTTACTTACAAAAGACAAAACATTCTCCTTAAAAACAGAAAACTTAATCTAATTTATTGACGAAATTAAATATTTCAAAGAAGTAAATGACCATATAGATATATTAATAAGCACCTTTGTAAATAACGGACATTCTTATACCCTGGAGTTGTGTAAAGGGCATATAAAAACTCTTATAAAGACACAATAAGGGTAAAAGTTGATGACTTTTATTGAAAAAATTCGTGATTTCCTATATACAATAAAACCTTAAATTTCTGATAATCTTTCAGCTGAAAAGATATAATAATTACAGGAAAAAGCAAAAGAAGAACAGAGAAAAGCCATTTAAGAGTTATTTAAATTTAGTTTAGAAGAAGTTTCAAATTCGTCTATTTATGCTTATGGAAAACCTCTTTTTTAGGAATTATTAAATATGAAATTTGTTATAAATGAAGAAGAGTATATTTAAGCGATTAAGGCTTATTAATAAAATGAAGAAAATTTATAAGAATTTTACGAATAAATAAAAGAAAAAAATCTTTTTTCGATTAATACAGTACAAGCATTTGTTTAAATTTTTAAAAAAAATCCTAAAAAATACGCAGAATTAAGTCTTAAAATTGTTGATGAAATTATTATAGAATAAAAAATAGAAAATATAAATAATTAAGTTATTAATGATATTCTTTATATATTCACAAGAAATGAAAAAGCTAATAATACTTAAAATTTATATAAATTTTTAATTACTAGATTAAATTTATCTAATGATTATACAAAAAATATATCCAAAAAGTTAATTAAATATATATAAATATATATATATATATATATATATATATATAATATTAATATTTTTTTTTAATAAAAATACAAAAATATAAAATAATTCATAATTATATTATTAAAATATTTTTTATTATATATATTAATATTTACATTTATATATAAATATATATTTTTAAATTTATAATATAATATAGATTACTTAATTTAATTAATGATGAGGTTATAAGATAATAAATAAAAGGATTTATTGAAAGTTTAATTATTTACTAAAGAAATGAATAAGCTAAGAAAAGTATACATAAAGAAAAAATTTTAAGAAGAAGTTCATTTGGTAGATAAGATGAGTAAAATCTTTAATAAATTTAAAAATTATAATTATAATATTAATCCTAATAATCATAATAGAAATAATAATAAAATATTAAAGTTAAAGGTTAATAAAAATAAAAACTCGATGATGATTCTGTTGAATTAAATACAGATAATTTATAGAATAAAGATTAATTTGAATATTTTTTGAATGAATAAAAAAAATTTGAAGAAATAAATCAATAACTACTTGATCAAATAACAAAAGAATTATAAAAAACAAGTAATTTTAAAGAAAATAAGAAAAAAAGAAAAGTACTTGATAAAAAAGGAGTAGGAAAATTTAAAGACATTGACAAATACATGAAAGAAATACCAACCAAAACATTATGAAAAAATATAATAAATAAATGCTTATTAAAAAAAAAATATATATATATATTTTTTTTTTTAATACAAAAAAAAAAACTAATATAAAAAATAAGTATATATATTTATTTAAATTATTAAATTAAACAAAAAAATATATCTTAAAAATTAATAAAAAAAAAAAAAAAAATTGTTTTTTTATAATAAAAAATCTAAGATAAATTATAAAATAAAATAATTTATTTAATAAATAAAAAAAGTAAAACAAAAAAAAATAAAAATAAAAAAATAAAATAAAAATAATATATATATTGAAAAATTAATATATATTAATAAATCTTTTATATTAATATTAATTAATTTAATTATAAAAATGGAAACTTCAATAACAATAATAATATAAATAATGTAATATGTTTAAATAAAATTAAATTATATAATAATTAAATAAATACATTAGAAAACAATAATAGACTATTTAAAATAAATATAATTAAGTATCTTTAAAAATAATATTTTATTTATTTTTTCCTAGAAAAAAAAAAATAACTTAATTTTTAATTTTTTAATTTTATATATATTATATATAAGAAGTATTAAATATTACTATAAACTAATAATAATGAAATATATAATAATAATATATAATTATATTTATTTTATATAAAAGGATAATTTCATTTATATTAATTATAATATTTTATTCTATTAAGTTTTTATATTAATTAAATGAAACAAAAAATTATAGATATATATTTAATATAATTTGTTTTTTTTTATATATTATTTATATATAAAAAATAAATAATTTAACAATATATATTTTATTTTAATTAAAATATATATATACTATAAAAATTATTAATATAAAATAAAAAATCATTATATATTATATATAATTAGTTTTTTATTTTAATTTTTATTTTATTTATAAATATATTTTATTTAATTCAAATAATAAAAAAATTATCTAAATAAAATCTATATTTTTTAATTTATAAAATAATATATATAATAAAAAAAATATAATTAATATATATAAATTTAAACAAAAAAATTATAATAAATATAAAAAAGCTAAATTTGAAAATAATTTTATAATATAATTTAATATTTTAAAATAATTATATTTTATATATTAATAATATAAAAATATTAAAAGAATTATAAAAGATTTAAAAATTAAATAAAAAAATAAAATATCTTAATAAATAAAAACATAATAATATATATTTTTATAAAATTTAAAAAGTAATTTCAATTAATATTATTATTATCTTCAAAAGCCTTAAAATAAAAATTTACAAATAATTAATTTTAAGAATTAATGACATTATATTACTAAAAATTAATAAATAAATAAAAAAATTATATAAAATAAACATTTGGTTCTCTAATTCTTTCTAAAGCAATTTTTTTTCTATTATCAGCTATTTCATTACATTTTTATTTATAATTAGTATCGTTACTTAAAAGAAGTAAATTTTTGTCTCTTTCAAATTTGCTTTTTATTAATATATAAACATATATATATATATATATATAATTATATTATATTTAAAAATAACTCTTAATTTAAGTAAATTTTGCTTTCTCTTGTAGTATATTTATTAGAATTTTGATTATATTTACTATAAAGAATTTTAGTTAATTATTAAATTCTTTGAAAAAAGGCAATTTTTTTTTTTTTTTCTAACATAAAAATATATAATATATATATATATATATATATATATATATTATATATATAATAATTATTTAAACTATTTTTATATAAATATTGTTTACTTTCTTCTTCATCATTTACAAATTTTTTAAAATTTTTATTCTATTATTCTTTAATTACTAAAGATTATGTTTCTATATTTTTTTCCATATTTTCTTAATCATTTACATTTTTTTATCCAATTATTATTAATTCTTATAACTCACTTATTAAATACCTTGTATTAGTTACTGTTTTGAATAATAATTAGCATTTTGACTCATTCATTTATTTATAATTTTTACTTCTACAATAAATTCTATATGTATCTAGTTAATCTTTAAAAAAATCTGTAATTTTTTAATACAACTAAAGATTATCTTAAAAAACAAATAACTCCTATCTTATATCATTTATTTCAGGAATAAAATAATTTTTTTTCTGTCATATTTTAAAGGAATTTTTTCAAATTCCTATATTGATTTTGAGATTTTCAAATTTTCTTTTTTTTGTAGATTTTTATCTTATTTAATTTTTTTTTTGTCGATTTCTTCTTTTTTAAATTTATAGTATTCTTACTATTTTTATCTATATAAATTTAAAGGACTATTTATTGAATTCTAACTACAAATTTCATTACATTATTATTCTTTTTTTTAAATTAAATAAGTGAATAATATATATATATATATATACAAACAAATAATTAATGACAAATATTTTCCAAAAAACCAATAATTTTTTCAAATTTTTAATTTATTTTAATTTTAGTGCAATTATATAAATTTTAAAAAAACTAAAAAAAAAAAAAAAATTAAATAAAAAAAAAAAAAAACCTTTATCATTTTATTTTTATCTAGTATTAAATTTCTCACGAAATTACATTTATCATTTAAAATTCTAAGAACATCTCCAATAGCTAATTTTTGCATTTCAATTTCTTTAAAAATATATATATATATATATAATTTTATATTAATATATAAAATATATAATATATGTGTTTATAATAATAAAATACCTTTACTAATAAAAGATTCATATTATTAAACTTTTAATCCTTCGAATAAAAATTATTTATCTGTAATCTATATTTTGAAATTTCTTAATCTTGAATAATTTACATTTACTTATTAAATTGATTTTAAATCTAATTTATTGTTATTTAATAATAAAAATAAATAAAAAATTAAACTTATTTTTTTCATTCTTGAAGTATTATATTTTCTTTTTTCTTAAATTTAAATTAAATTTTCATTTAATTCTAAAATATATGAAATACTTTAATTATTACCAGATTCTTATTCTGATTTGATAGTATTTGCATTTGTTAACTAATACATATTTTAAGGAACTTATAGTGTATTTCCAATACTATCAGTAACAAAAGTATTATTTTTAATATTAAGAAATTATTAACAAGAATCGGAAGGTTTATTATCTTTTATTTTTAAATAATTATATATAAAATAACATATAAAATATTTTCTATATACTCCCAATATAAGGTAAAATAGATTAAGAACTATTTCCAAATCTAGAAGATAATTAATTTAAAGACTTTAAATAATTTTAATTTTATTAATTAACTTATATTTAAAATTATTTATCTAATTCTTTTTCTCTATATTATTATTCTTCTTATGTTAGAGGTTTTATTTGTGTTGATAATTAAAATATTTTGTGTTCTATATATTTATTTTATTAATTTAAATTTTATATTTTTAATACATTAATATATTTATTATTTTTCATTTTAAATATATATTAAAAATAATAATATACATAAATATATAATATACATAAATATATATATTTATATATTTATATATTTAAATATTTATATATTTTTACATTTTTCCATATTAGTCTGTTTATTTGAACTTTATGAGCTAGTATTTTCATTTTATTAATTATTTTAATATGAACTTCTTTCCGATTAAATTTTATCGATATTATTAATATAATCTTAAATATTTTAAATTTATTTATTTTTAATTTAAATATATTTTTACTATTGTTATTTTTTACGATTTCCCCAAATTATAATGTATATTATTTTGTATTTAATTATTTATTAATCGGTGAATTGTTTATTTATTAATTCATATTTATTTAATTTATAAATTAAATAAAATATTTTAAGAATTTTTATATTTTTTTATCACAAAAAATATAATTATAAATTAATAATAAATTATATATACTTTTAATATTTCAGTTTAATTTTTAATTTTTATTTTTAAACATATAAAAATTATATTAAATTTTACTTAAAATAAATATATTTATACTTATTAAAAATATATATTTTTATTTATAAAATAATATTAATAAAATTAGATATTAATAAATAAGTTATAAATAAAATTTTTTTATATTATATATATATATATATATATATATATATATTAATAAAAGTTTCATTATATAAATCAATTATATTAAATTAATTTTATTATTTTTATATATTCATCATAATTATTAATCTTTATTATTTAATTAAATATTTAATTTGATTCTAATTTACTAAATAAAATCACCTAAATTATTATATTTTTAAAAATCTTTAATTTCATCATCTATATTAATATCATTTAACTATTAATCAATTACTTTAAATTTATATAAAAATATTAATAGAATAAATTTATAATTAAAAATATATATATATATATATAAATATAATATTTATATATATTTATAAATATTAATTTAATTTTTTTAATAATTTATCTATTTAATTATATATCTTATTTCATTTACTTTAATTTACACTTTCTTAAGAATATTGAATAATAATATAATAAATTTATTATTTTTCCTATATCGATATTTTAAGTTATTTAGGTTTCGGATTTTCTAACTTTAAACCATAATATTCAGCATAATTTTTTAAAAAGAACTTAAAGAATTTAATTATTCTTAATTATTCAAATCTTACATTTATATTTCTTTATATTTTTATTAATATTTTTATAAATAAATTTTTATATACCTTTTTATAAATTTTATATAGTTTACAATTCTAATTCAATTTAGTTTATCATATTTTATTTATTTTATTAAAGTTTATTTAATATTATTTAAGATTTTTCTTATTAATTTTATAATTAAAAATTTTTTAAATTTAATTATAAATGATGGTTGAATTCGTTTAATTTTTCATAAGCTTTTCGTAGTTCTTCGTTTTTTTATTAAATCGGAAGTAAAATATCTTTTAATATAATAAAATATAATTTAATATTATATAAAAAAAAACTTTATTATTGAATTTCTTTTTTCTTAATTCTTCAATATTATCACTTTCTAGCTTTTTTTTTTTTATATATAATATAATTTACGTTTAATTTCTTTTTTTATTTCTTAAAATTCTTTTTAGAAACTGTCGACTTCATTTTTAATTTTAATCTAAATTTAAATTTAACTTAAAAAATCTTTTTAAACTTCAATCATTTTATTAATATTAAATAAAAAA